CAAAGAATCTACTATTACAATACCCATCCTTCGTATGATGGACACTATGGAGTATAATAATGCAAATACATCATCGGGAACATATACAAGATATTATCGAACTTGAACAGAACACATTGCGGGGTTAAGTATTTTACAACAGAGTATTATACAGCATTATATTGCATGCTAAATTGGTCTAGCGCAAAACAGTAGATAAGATACAATGTGATGTACAAAACATTTTGCATATGTTACAATTGAAGATTATCAGCAAATGGGGTGCAAAGAAAACTTTAGCACTCTATACAGGAAAATTAAAAAAAAAAAAAACTTAATGGGATAGTCTGTTAGTTATAAATCAAACAAGGTGCTCTGCTGACAATTGTGAGATCCTAAAATCCAAGTCTTAGGACATCATACATATACAACATTATGAAACATAAACAAGATATTATCAAACTTGAACAAGATTCATTGCGGGATTAATTATTTACAACAGAGTATTATACAGCAGGCTAGATTGGTCATGCCCAAAACAGTAGATAATATACTACGTGATGTTCAAAACATTCTGCATATACAAACAGGAGTATAATTGGGATAAGAAGTAAAAGACATTATGGAGTATAATAATAAAGGAGAAAAATAGACATAGGCACCCCGTACAGTAGAGTTAAGGCTAAATGGGATATGCAAACATGTCTTCTAAATTTACATGCCAGAATAATTGTCAAGTAATTCTATCAGATACAGATCATTTAGGGTGCTCTGCAGACTTGAGAGATCCTAAAATCCAAGTCTTAGGACTACATGCATATACAATATTGTGAAACATCAGCAAGATATTATATTACTTGAACAAAATGCATTGCAGTGATAAATATTTACAACAGGCTATAATACAACAAGTTAAATTGGTCATACCCAAAACAGTAGTAAGTATACAATGTAATGTTCTAAGCATTCTGCATATATAATAAAAGAAGAGTAACAACAAAAAGGGTTCCAAAAAAAAAAAAAAACATAAGCACTCAAAATAGTTAGATTAAAACTTAATGAGAAATGCAGATATTTCAATTTTTAACATCATGGGGTATAATAGACATAAGGAGTATAATGGGTATTATGGAGTAAAATAGACATTATCGAGTATTATGGATATAAGCACCCCATACTGTAGAATTAATACTTAATGAGATATGCAGACATTTCTTCTGTAATAACATGCCAAATCATTGGCAAATAAGTTTGTTAGGTACAGTCAAGCTCAATTACAAACACAAAATTACATGCCAAAATCGTTGGCAAATAAGTCTGTTAGGTACAGTTAAACACGAAAACAGTTATTTAGTTTTATATATAATTGTACAGGAAGTTCATTTGGTATTCAATAGATAAGTGACAGAGAGTACGATATTAATCCAACAGGTCTCGTATCTGACAGTGAGTTAAGACCAGTTGGAGTTCATCTCGCTACAGATCTGAATTATTCTAAATAGTCTGGTGTGCATCCCAGCATTTGTGGTCAGTTCTTTGGCCCACTCCCTCTGAAATTGAACAGCTGGTTTCTTAATATGAAATTGCTGTGTGAGATTGCAGTTGTGGACATAATGGTCAGGAGAACCCATTTCTCCACAGGTACACAATTCCGAGTCGCAAAGTCTGAAGCGGAACAGGTACTGTGGGAATGGTTCATGTCCCGTGAGAAATGCTGTTATGGCTGTTGAATAAGCATAGAATTTGTTGGAGACTTGTGGAACAAAGGTATGTGTTCGTCGTCCTGTTGTTCCTGTCTCCCATCTGCTTTGCCATTTTCGGAGAAGTTGCCACATAGTAGACCTCTTAAGATGCGAGGTTGGAATTGGAAGCGCATGCTCTGGCAGAGTTGTACCTTGGGCCGCTTGCTTGGCCAGCATGTCTGCAAGTTCATTACCTTCGATACCGGTATGTGCTGGGATCCAATTCAGTATGGGTCTGTGATTAGTCGGCAGGTGCAGTAGTAGATTTTGTATTTCGTTGACCAATGGGTTTCTACTTCGTATATCTGTAATGGCTTCCAAGCTTGATCGAGAATCGCTGAAGATGTGTGCTTGGACTGTGAACTTTTCGCTTAGAGTAATAGCTTTTCTAATGGCCACCAGCTCTGCTTGGTACACTGAATTGTTGTGTGTGAGTCGGCGTCTCCATCTATGCGCGCAGGAACCGTTTTTGTAAACGCATAGTCCACTGCCTATGCCCGTATCCATTCCTGATCCGTCTGTATATATTTGGATGGAATTCGTATCTAGAGATGGAGGCTCAGAGAGTATTGTAAATTCCAAGTCGATGATGGAGGGATGGACGTTTAGACTATCAATTTTATGTTCGTAGTCGATTGTATGATATTCAATGTCCCAGAGCTTGAAATTTTTGTTGAGTCTTGTTACCGAAACTATGGCTGCTTCTCTCTCCGCAGTAAGGTCTAAAGGTGGGATACCAGCTACTACGTGCAGGGCTGCAGTGGGGGCTGTGCGATAGGCTCGACAGATTTGTAGGAGGTGTAATCTTTGCAGCGTGATTAACATTTTTCGCTCATGAACCTTAAGTGATGTGGCCCAGATTCCTGAGCCATATAGAACTATTTTTTCCACAGTGGTCAAGTACCAGGTTCTGAGCATGTGGCCATTAATACCCCAGGTCTTGGAGGCCGTTTTATGCATGAAGTTGTTTAGTTTAGTTGTTCTAGACTTGAGATATTTGATATGTGGAAGCCATGATAGTTTTGAGTTAAGGATTATGCCGAGATATTTCAGGTTGTCTACTATCTTTATGGGGATGCCATTAAGCTTTATGGAGGGCTTTTTCTTTAGTGGACGTGATGCTCCTATGACCATTGCGCATGTCTTGGTTACTGAAACTTGTATTTTGTGTTCTCTCGCCCAGTTGCCAAACTCCTGTAGTATCACTTGCGCATTGCGCTCGAGATCTGACTTGCCTTCGACAATTATTAAAAAGTCGTCTGCATATGCAATTGCCTGACAGTGTGGGATTGTACGAAGATGTCGAAGAATAGAGTCTGCGACCACATTCCAGAGAATGGGACCCAGGCAAGATCCCTGTGGACATCCTCTTTCAAGTTGTTGGGTGACGGTAGTTGAGTCAAGGGTCACTCGAACCGTGCGATTAGACAAGTAGCTTCTTAATAGGTCCAGGATTACTGCTGGACTCCCCATAGAAGCCAGTGTGCTGAGAACATCCGGCCACCATAAGGAGTCAAAAGCACCCTCTATGTCTATGCTGATAAGTAGTGAGTGTCTATTGTTATGTCTGTTGTCTTGTATGATGTCCAGAAGTTTGGATATTGCCAGTTCAGTAGATTTGCCCCTAAGGAAGCCAAATTGAGAAGGATCCAAAGAGTTATGTGATTGAAAGTGATAAATTAGTCGACCTTGTATAACACGTTCCAGAAGTTTGCTAAATGCAGGGAGCAGGCATACTGGTCTGTAGGATTTTGGCAAAAGGGGATCCTTTTCTTTCTTGTAGAAGAGCACCACCTCAGCAATTTTCATCTGCGTTGGGAAGTGTTGTAGTCTCCAGCATGCTTTAATTAGTTCAAGTAGGAGATGTGGGGCAGATTGAAAGATTAGTTGTAGAATTCTATTGTCAAAGCTATCGGGTCCTGGTGCTTTCTTTACATTGAGATTTTGAATTATCCTTTTAAGTTCACTCAGTGTTGGTAAGGGATTTGAATCTGGCTGCATCTCGTAAGTATTGAAGTTTCTGCGAGTGAGTTTCTGACTTGTGGTGTCATCCTCAGGGTCGTCCCTCCGGAACAGGTGTTGCAGAATATTTGTGATGGTGTCTGCTGGCGTGTTGGCTGTTGTTAGAATAGGCATTGGTATCGCCGTGGGGCGGAAAGTTTTGTCCATAGCTACATGGAATGCCTTGCCAAAAGTCTGCAAAGTGTCCGAGCAGTATTTTCGCCATGATTCCTCCTTTGCTTGAGTTAGGGATCTTTTGTACTTCGCCTGGGCATGCTTGTACCTGGTGAAGAGCCCCTTTTTACGTTCGAGATTTCTTTCTGCCTGGGCTTGTCGGCGTAGCTTTCTGAGGTCTCGTCTTTCTTTTGCCAGTTCGTCCATCCACCAAGGGGACTGAGTGCTTGGTTTGAACTTGCGTAACTTAAACGAGGCATCACAAATTTGTGTCAGGTTGCGAAGGAAGTTGTCGTTGGTCTCTTCCAGTTCCTCTTTATTGGAGCATTCCTCGAAGTCCTTGGCAAGATTGTCCGCATAAGGAGAGAGGTTAGCCTCGAATTTCTTAATGTTGCAGAACGAAGTTTTATATCTTTTACAGTAGAGCGCAGTGAATTTTGTCTTGATTGAGAAGGAAATTGTACAGTGGTCACTTAAAGTGATGTTGTCCTCAACCTTCCAATCCTGAATGAAAGGTGCAAGTGTAGATGTGGCGAGAGTGAAATCCGGCCAGCTCTTTCCATATAGGGTATTAAACGTAGGTGGAGAGTCTGTGGAGTTAATTATTATTAGTCTTCCTGAGTGAATGAAGTCCAGGACAGATGCTGATCTGTTATCCTCTGAGGATGCTCCCCAGAGGGAACCTGACGCATGAAAGTCACCCCCAAGAAGGAAATTTTGGTATTTTGTGAATGTGATATAGTCAAGTTCAGGTAGCAGTGCATCTATATCACGACTTGGTGGAAAGTAGATCGAAGTTATCAGCAGAGGACCCTCCAGAGTATCCAAAATAACTGAAACTGTATGTTCCGTCTGGCGATAGAGGAAAGGAGTGAAGGGACCGTTGTATAGAATGCTAGCCATGAGATTTTGTAGAGTTAAAAATTTTGCAAGATGCTGGAGCTCCTGCTAGTTTGCCATCTTTAGTAATATGTGGTTCCTGTAACAGGGCAAAGTGGATTTTATTTTCTAGGATTCTGTGCATAAATAGAGAGGTAGCGGCTGCGGAACGTTGGAGATTGCATTGCATGAACCTCAGTTCGTCAGTATATCTTGAGTAGGTGTTCATTGTTGTTGGAGTTCGCGATGTAGTGCTGACTGTAGGGCGGCCTTGTAGGTTGGACATTGTCTGGAGTTAGCAGAGTGATTACAATCGTGCGTAGTATGCTGTGAGGAGTTCGAAGTCGTGCAGTTGGAATACTGTGGTTGAGCCTTGCAGGTGTTGGGAGGAAGAGTATGTGCTTGAGCACACTGCACACACACAGGTGTATTTTTGCAGTCCTTACTGTGATGACCAAACTCCTGGCAGTTGAAACAGCGATTGATTCGGACGTATGCACGCAATGGGCAAGACGAGAAACCCAGATACAGTCGTCCAGTGGCTCCTAGTTGTTCGAAGTAGTCTCTATCGAGATTGATAATCCAGTTATTTTTGGAGTCAGCGCGTTGAAGTGGGGTTCTTGGATGAATAGCCCCTTGTTTTTTTGGTGAACTGAAATCTCCAAAGGCTTTAATTAAATCGTCTGCTGTGAATTCCGATGGTACTCCAAAAAGAATTATGCTTCTCTGTGGAACTCGAGGCTCCCGAAATTGAACTTTGTCTTTTAGATCCTCTTGAGTCGTAAGTGAATTTTTTAGTTTATCCAGGTGTTCCTTGGTACCACAACGAACCAGAAGTTCCTTGGACTTAGTAGGTCTAATTTGTTGTATTGGTGCTCCTATTTTATTTGGATTAAAGCTTGTTGCAAGTTGTTTTTGCAGGGCAGATGGAGAGACTGTAGTGTCTGTTGAGCTAATTATAAGAACGTGATCTGAAAGAGGTTTGCGTTTACTTTTAGGTTTTCGCTGAACCTGTGTAAATTGACGATCTTCCTCACTATTTTGTGGTGCAGGTCCCGCGGAAGCCGGAGAGGAGATGGCAGATTTTAAAACGCTGGAGTTGGAACGAGAAGGGGATGAAAGAATATTTTCAAGAGACCTGGCTCTTCAAAGCGTCAATTTGAGCTTTTTGAGAATTGATTTGCAGTTCCTGTTCCAGTAGGACAGCCTGTGCCAAATCCGCAAAGTCTTTAATGAAGGTAGTATCCTCCCTGTTAAGTTTGTGTTTTGCGTTTCTGGTAGCTAGAAACTCGTAAATAAAGTTGCAATGAGTAAGGAAATTTTGGACTCGAGTAAGGGAGCAGTCTATTTGCGGTGGAGGAGAAGAGTCGTCAGAAACTGGAGAGGGAGTGGCCTGGGCACAATCTTTAGAAGCCATGTTAACCCAACATAAACACACTCAGAATAATTGATTAAATGCTTAATAACTGGTACAGAGTAAGTCCGAGTGCAAATATAGGGTAGTATACTATATTCAAAGTAAGTTCAGTTAAAATGTTCATATAACACCAATACAATTTTATGTAAGATGAAGTGTCAGATGATCCTCTTACAAACAGTAATAGAATATGCAAGGGAAATGACAATGTACCTTTTAAAAATCGGTTAATCTACAGTATATTAGCAGAATTTGAATACGCTAATCACATACAGTAACTATAATTTCCAAGCGATACAATGATGATTACACTAAAACTAAGGTAAGAGAGCCACGATTTAATAGGTTGAAATTCAACTATAAAGCTTAACCTGTAAAGTGGGCTTCCTCACAAGATTTATACACATGACATATATAAAAATAATTGAACTGTAATGTAATAATAAGACACTGGAGTTAGTACATTAAGGTATTAAATCTTAAAATTACCGTGATATGGGCTTTCCCACATACAAACTTTCCTTGTAAGAAAATCGATTTACAGGAAGTAGACTTGTTGTTTGGAACTCTGGGTCCAAGTTATGCAGAACGAAACCAGAGGCAATTACAGAATTCGAAATTAATTTTTAAAAATTTTTTAAATTAGTTATTCAAAATTTTAGCTCGAGAAGTCTCCCGGAAGAGACAAATTACAGCTGGGGAAAAAAGTTCGAAGAGTCTACGGCAATTTTAAAATTTTGACATTTTATATAGGTTAAGGCTATGTGAAAAAACAGTCACACAGAATGGAACCAGTAAACACAATGCTATTATTTGTTTTGAATTTTTGATATTATAATCACTATAAAATAACAATATATTGAATCAGAAATGAGAGCAGCAGTATCTAAATACTATACAATATAATCAAAGTTGCAAGACCAAAGTCCTGTTTAAATCGTTAATGCTTATAACATATAACAGAGCATTGGGTATGGAATAGGCATTACATTTAATACATTAAGTTTGAAGGTAAACAAATGCACGTGGTATAAATTTAGTCAGAAGCCCTATAGGGTGCGCTGTCATTCGCGCATGCGCACAGGTGGCTTGACAGTCAGCCAAAGGACCGACCCTGTGGCGAAGTGACGATACCGAGCTTCTGAAGCAAACAAAGGAATGGGAGAAAGATGAATTTTAAACAAGATTAAAAATACAAAAACATTAATAAGTACAGAAGTATTGATGCTATTGCAATAAGTGAGATATCAAAATGTAGGTAATTGAAAGTCCTACCTGTCAGTTAAAGAAATAATCCTGTAGGTGCAGTGGTTCCGGAGATATCCTTTGTTTAAGGGCAAAAAAACACGAAAAAGTGATGTTAATTAAAATCACGATAATTAATCACTCACTGAACACAGGAACTTCAAACAACACTCGTTAGGCGGCGAAATGAGCACTCTATCCAATGGTATCCAGATTGTAGATGGATGGCACACTGATCACGAGATATGCGAATTTAAAAAACACACCAGTGCTGGCACTTCATTTGAAGCTTGCTGTAAACAAAGCGAATAATAACGCTATTTGCACAAAATCCATAATTGCAATTAATCCGTCAATAATTGACCGATTTCCTTGAAATTGGTATCAAAATGCTCCTCTTAGCACCAGCTTTCAGAAGATATAACACATTCGTTGTTATTTCGCTTAGATCCGCAACGATTGCACTTCAAACACGAAGCACTCACAGGCACGTCTTGCTTCTTCGGCGTCCACGCTCGCTCTAGTAGATAGGGACAACTCGACTGCCTGAATGGCCCTCCGACCGAGCGTTCAAAAATATGAACACCATTCGGAGGAAAATGCCATCCCAGCAGTATAATAAATCTACTATCCACTGGCCACAACCAAGGGAGGAGCCAACAGATCAGACGGCATTTATTGAAAAATAAAATCAATCATACAGATGACAAGTTAAAAAGATACAATGAAATACTACAACTACCAACATAAAATCTTGACATGAAAAGTTCAATATTCAGTAATGTGTAAAAATAGTCTATAAATTAACAAGTCCACTAAAGTCAGGAGTAGTGTAATAAAAATCCGTAATTCACAATAAAAGTTCAATGTTCAATAGAATGTGAAGAAAAGTCTTGAGAATTGTTAAAGACTCTTAGGTCTATACAAAGTCATGTAATTCCTGGCTTAATAAAAATGTGAGAAAAACCTTCACATGTGCCATATAATGAGGTTACTCACAATAAGTAGTCTTGTAATATATTACATTATAGTTTATCATGACAAATGGCACACGTGAAGGAGCTCTCTGGATAGATGGTATACGCATTGAGTAATCCAACAAAATATATGCAAAACCACATGCGCACGTGTAGTAAAGTCACTGAGAGTTTATCATAAACAGAAAGATTGTTGTTTTGCACTGTATGTGATACCAAACACGCACGCACATAGATGAAGAAATCACACATAAACACGCACATATATCATAAGGTGCTATTCATAAGTCGTGTCATGTCCTGAAGCACTGGTAAAGATACACGCGCACTATGATGCACACACCAAGTAGACACGAAAAAGGACTATACCGTGATGAAAAGTTACAAGCCAGAAAAGTGATATATTAGTTATTCACAAGAAATTATGCTCCTCTTGAACATAGTTATATAGTTCCTGATATTATAAATATGACAAAAATCATCATATGCACTATATAATTAGGGTACACACGATAAGTTCGCTGTTAAATAAACACGCGCACAATGATGCTCACACCAAGTAGAAACGAAAAGGAACTACCTCGTGAGGAATAATCACAAGCCATAAAAGTGATGTATTAGGTAGTTACGAAGAATTATACACCTCATGAGGATTATTCAATCTTCAGTAAATATTATTCTTAAAAGAACAAAATCTATAAAATAATATATATTATATATATATATATATATATATAAGTTATAAGTGTGGCACAAGGAGGAATTTACCCCATAACATTCATGAAATCCTAGCTGTCGAGGAGCAGACATGAGATATGTAGAGAGGCAACTGCAGATGGCTCTGAATAAGATCCAAGAATGGTCAGACAAACAGGGATTTATATTTTCGAAACAGAAAACTGTGTGCGTGCACTTTTGTAGGAGGCGTGGTCTCCATCCTGAACCTGAGTTGTATTTGAATGGTACAATTATTCCAGTTGCGCCTGAAGTAAAATTTTTAGGAGTGACGTTCGACCGTTATTTGACTTTCCTTTCTCATGTTTTAAACTGAGAAGAAGTGTCTAAAAAACACTAAATATTTTAAAAGTGTTGGCGAACACCTCTGGGGTGCAGAGCGTTACCCATGCTCGCATTTACAGAGCCTCATCCGCTCTAAACAGGATATGGCTCAGTGTTTATGGATCCGCTCGGTCATCTGTTTGTTAAAACTGGATCCTGTTCACCATCAAGGTCTGCGGATTTGTTCAGGGAGCTTTCAGGACTCTCCTGTGCAGAGCCTATATGTTGACTCTAACGAACCATCACTTTATCTGAGGCGTGAGCAATTGTCCCTTTTTGCAATATTTTAATACTCTATCTCAACCTGACATCCCAATAGGCTGTGCTACTTGATAATGAGGTACACATTATTTGAAACACTTCCATCCTGTGTCCACTTTCCCTTTAAGATTCGCCCTGTCATTGAGGAACTCTCCCTCTCTGATATGTGCTCTCAAGGTGCAGAATTTTAAAATCCCATCTTGGGAAAGTGCACGAATACAGCTTCTTAATGTTTTCGACCATCACGTAAAGGCAAACACTAACGAGATCGTTTACAGACAACTCTTTGCTGAGCACAGGCGTAAATATAGCAGTTATCATCCGATATATGCAGATGGATCTGAGTGAAATATTCATGTTGCGATGGCATTTGTAATTGGAGATCACATAGAGGGCAAAAGTTTGCACTATGCTTTCTCAGTCTTAACATCTGAACTAACTGCACTATATTATGGTTTTTTACATCTCAAAGCTCTGCCACAAAAAGTTCATAGTTTATACGACTCGTATAGTGCCTAAAAAATGCCTAAAAGAGCATTGGATTTTGCTGGAGATCGTAAAGAAGAAGTTCTTTTGACTCGCCTCAGATTGGTCACACAGAGTGACACATGGCTACCTTTTAAAAGCAGAGAATGAGCCTGTTTGTTCAAATGGAATGTTTGTCTATCTGTCCGTCATATTTAATTGAGTGTCCATATTTTAATAATCTCGTCAGAAGTATTTAATAGCTGTGACTACCTCTCGACCGTTTAATGGGAAGGAGGTGAATTGTAATTTATTTTATTTTTAAAAGAGACTGGCTTTTATCACTTAATGTAATTTGTTTTAAAGATTGTGTCTTGAATTTTAAATGTGTGGTTTTAACTTGTTTTATATGACTCTTCATCCTCTGGATTTGACACATTTGTCTACTTGTTTTATTTATTGTATTTAATTCATCAATTGTTCACCCATCTCGGTTTGGCGCACTATAATCAACCTTGGTTTTGCGCCATAATCTCACTCACTCACTCACTCATTCAGGAAATCCGCGATATTTAATCAGGAAAAAAAAAAAAATGGAAGGTATGATTATGGGCTTTCTAATACCAAAATTAAAATTAAAGGAAATACGAGTTAAAGTGAAGTGAGTTATAAAAAAGCCGGCCCTCTCCTTAGAAAATGGTTTAGAAATAAGAAAAAGTATTTTGGCAGAAACGCATTATATGAGAAAGACGATTGGAGAGATTTTTATTATGATGAACCTGGCTTACAAAGTGTCGGAGATTATCTGTAGAAATAGGTTGAAGATGAAGATGAGAAGTTAATGGACAGGAATATGCAAAATGATCAGGATCTCCGGCACCGCCACAGGGACAATGAGCCGAGGGACGCAAATTAAATCGATTTAAATATGAAGGAAAAGGGGCCATGGCCCGTCAAAAACCAGGTTAAATATGATGTAGAAGTTTGTAATGAGAAGGATACACGGGGGAGAAAACTATAAGTCCGTCGACCCACTACATCGCTATCCCAGCGCCCCTGCCAAATGGACAATAAAGAATTATAAGAAGCACGCTTAAGAAAAGAGGGAGGAGCAGGAAGAGATGAAAGAGAGCGATGAGAAAGAAAAGCAGCCTCTTTAGCTAACCGATCCGCCATTTCATTACCTACAATACCCACATGAGCAGGTATCCAGGCCATCCACGGTCGATCAGTCACAGGAATTGATTGTAAAACTGTCTGTATTTCCCTAACCAAGGGGTTACGAGATTGTAATTGCAAAAGAGATTGAAGGCTAGAGGCTGAATCAGAAAAAATAGAGGACGATAAAGGAAGGAAAGATGCTGCAAGTCGAACTGCTTTACGCAGTGCAAGAAGTTCAGATTGAAAAACAGAATTAACCGGACCAAGACTCCTTTTCCAAGAGAATTGGAGAGTTTGTTGAGAATAGACACAAAGACCGCAGCCCGTTCCCCCATCAATGCGAGAACCATCTGTAAATATTGAAAAATCTGTAGAGGGTATATTTGAACTATTATGTGAAATTCTAAGTGGGAGATCAAATTCAGAAGGAGAACATATAAAAGAAGAATAATGATGCATATAATCTGAAGGACTGTAAGTTCGATTCCACAATGAAAATGAATTCCGAAGACGAAGAACATTTGCCAACATAGACTCTCGCTCCACTGATAAATCAAGGGGAGGAACTCCACTCAGGACTTGTAAAGCAGAAGAGGATGTTGTGCGAAAAGCACGAGTGATTAAGAGTAAGAACGGACGCTGAAGACTTATTAAGCGACGTCGCATCTGAAGTGAGAGAGAACGTCCCCAAGCAGAGGAAGCATATAAGACTACGCGTTCAATAACAACGCGATACCATAACTTCAAGATGTAGGGGGGAACGCCCCAAGATCCACCCGTGACTTTAAAAAATGAATTAGTAAAGGAAGCGAGACGTCCCTGAAGAAATTTGAGGTGAGAAGTCCAAGAGAGGCGGTTATTAATTACAAGACCCAAAAGTTTTGATGTCAGTGGTAAATTTAATTGGTTGACCAAGAAGTTTTAGCGATGGATTCCTGCGAAGCATACCCTTGCGACCAATTAATAATGCTTGTATTTTGGATGGTGAAAGTGTGATTTTATGTAGCTTGGCCCAATTTTGTATAAGATCAAGACAATATTGCGTATGTGATTGAATTTGTGAACGACCAGATACTACTAGAACAAAATCATCAGCATAGGCTAAAAGCTTCGCATCCTCCACCGAATCAAATAGTTGTAAGAGAGAATTGGCAACCAAGTTCCAAAAAAGAGGTCCAAAACAAGATCCCTGGGGACAGCCTCTTGACAAATCTTTGACATAGACATCGGTAGAAGTTGAAATTTGAACAGAGCGAGAACAAAAATAGCTACTAACAAAATTTAAGAGATATGATGGACAACCAACTTCGATTAATGTTTCCACTACATCTGGCCACCATAGCGCATCAAATGCGCCACGGATGTCCAGAGATATGAGAACAGAATGGAGGTCGTTGACTCGATTGTGCTCCATGATAGTAAAAAGTTTGTCGAAGAAATGATCAGTGGAAAGGTTAGAGCGAAACCCAAATTGTGAAGGATGAAAAAATTGAATCTGTTTAAGAAAATAATTAAGTCGAAGAAGGATTGTCCGCTCTAAAAGCTTGCCAAAGGCTGGAAGAAGACAAATAGGGCGATAAGAAGTAGGTAAAAAGGGATCTTTATCTTTTTTAAGAAACAAAACCACCTCAGCTATTTTACTAGCCGAAGGGAAATGTTGAAGTTTCCAAGCAGGCATTAAGAAAGGAAAAAAGAAGATCAGGAAAAGAAAAGTAAAGAATCTTAATTAGATTATTATCAAAAAGATCAGGACCCGGAGCTTTCCTGGAATTCAACGACCGAACTATTGAGTCAACTTCAAAACGTGTTGGTAGAACGACATTCCCCTCGGGTTCCGCCAAGCGGGATTGTTGAAAAAGTAGACGAGATTGTAATTGCCGAGAGGAGTCAGTAGAAGGATCATCTTGCCCAAATAGTTCATCTAGAAAGATCCGATAAAAATCAGCTTGTGTACTAGCGGATGAAATTATCTGCATTGGCAGGCGAGATGGACGAAAAACTTTATCGACGGCTACCTTGAACACAAAATCAAATGAATCAGACACAGAAGAACACAATGAAGACCAAGAACGCTCGCTTGGCCTTACAAATCTCGCGTTTAAAAGGAGAATTTTAAAGAGCGAAAATTTTAAAGAGAATTGGAGAGTTTGTTGCCAAAGAACAAATTGCCTGTAGACGTCGATATTCAAGAAAACGAGAATTACGAATAGATGGGTCAACAGCTGATTGAGCACGACGACGCAAAGCGCGTACTCTCCTACGCAACAGCTGGAGAGAAGAATTCCACCATGGTGACTGACGAAATCGAGGAGATCTTTTAAATTTAAATGATGAAAGAGATTCAAGATAAATAGATTGTATGAAATTAGAATATATAAGATCAAGATCCCCGATAGAAGCACAAGAAGAAAATTGGTGAGTAAAGTATTGGGCGGAAGGTGCGAAACGAGAAATGAAAGGTTGAGGATTAACACCCAGGGTTTTAAAACGAGTAACGGAGGAAAAAGAAATAGTGTCTGCGAAGTTGAAAGTAATATACTGATGGTCACTAAGACTGACCAAATCAGAACGGACTTGCCAATTTTGGATGAGTGGAGAAAGTGAGGCACTAACTAGAGAAAGATCAATCCAACCCTGGGAGCGAGAAGTTAAAAAGGTAGGAAGTGAGTCAGAAGTGTTAAGAACAACCAAATGGTGGAACGTAAAAAAATCAACTAATTGAGTACCACGAGGGGTACAATCCCGGGCACCCCAAAGGGAATGTGAAGCATTAAAGTCACCAAGAATAATATGTCTATAGCCAGGCCTGCAACGACTAAACATTAAATCTAGATCCCGAAAAAGATGTGTTAAATCATCATTGGGAGGAACGTACACAGAAGTAAGAAGAAATGTCGCGGTATCTGTTGAAAATAGTGCAGTGACAAAATATTGTGAATGAAAAAATAATTGTAAAGGAAAAGAAGAAGAAAATACCAAAGCTGACAGCCCCGAGTCAGACTGATAAAAAGAAAGTTGAAGAGGGAGACCAGCAATTGAATTATGCAAGGAATAAAATTCCTGAAGGAAGGCAAAATCAAAATCTCCCTCCAAGAAAACTTGCATAAAATGATCAGTACTGGCTCGAGACTTCTGAAGATTGCACTGCAAAAAAGATAGATTAAATATAGAATGTCGAAAATTAGGTGGAAAACGTGAGATAGACATTATGAACGCAAAGATTGTTGTAACCTACGCTGTAATAAGAATTTATACGTTGGACATGAAAGAGAATCCGCTGTATGATGAATATCAAAATTAGAGGATCTGTCACGATTTGAACGTATACAGTTAATACAGCGATGAGGAGAATTACAAGTAGATGCAGAATGTGATTCGGCACAACGAACACAGATAATAGGTAAGGTACACGACGAAGAAGAATGCGCAAAAGATTGACACTGATTACAACGAGAGAAGCGAAAGTAAGGACGGATTTTACAAGAGTTGAGACCAATATAAAACGAACCCGCAGAAAGGATTGAACGGGCAACGGTTCGATCCACTTCAAAAACACAATGATTAAAATTTTCAGAACGTGGTAAAAGACGCTGGATCGAAAAATTAGTAGAAGAGAGATTAGGAAAAGATGCGATCAAAGCTTGTTCAATATCTCCCGTTGATAAGTGTGCAGGAATATTAAAGATTATGAGAGAGAAATGAATTGGACCGGGAACTCGAAGTTGAATTTGATGCTGTAGTTGTGGATGAGATGAAACAAAAGATTGAAATGATTGAAGTTGTGTAAGAGTAGAAAAACGTAGGAGTAATTCACCACGCCTTGTGGAGCGTGTTTGTTTAAAGTTGAAAGAATATTGGTCCTGGCCTAGGGAACGAACAAGAAAAGAACGCAATTCAGAAGGAGTCAAAGACTGAGATGACGAAAGTATAAGAACAGGATCAGAAGAAGACTGTTGTGTTACTGTCGGTTTAGCTAATAAAGGATCCGTGGGATGCGGTACAGAAGAGCGTGATGGTGTTATTGGAGACTCAGCCAATTCCTCTGTCTCTGGAAGAGTTGTGAGAGGTGCTAATCTACGCCAGAAAATTCGATTAGAACGAGAGCGTGAAGAGAAAGATTTAGATCCAGTGACAGAAGTTGTAGACTGAGAGACAGATAACTGTTTGGATACCTGTGGATCTGGTAAAACTGTCGAACCCACTGGCAAAGTAGATGAAACTGAAGTACTGATCGGAGAATTTTGAACAGACCGGCGTCGTGAAGATCCTGATAAAGAAGAGTGATACTGACGAATTGCGAATTAAAGTAGACTGTTTGGACTTCTTGAGGTTCGGTTTGATGTAAAGAAGATGAAGTTGAAATATTCGCAGATACGGTTAAGCGATTGCCCTGTAGGTTGAGACGAGGACAATGAACTCTCCAACGAAGATCGAGGAGGTAAAGGATTAAAGAATAGGGGATCTAAATTAACAGGCCCCTTCAGGGGGCTCACTTTTGTGAGTACGGGTGTGGCAATCCCGAGGTACCCTAGCCCTTCAGGGGATCATCTTCTTGGTGAGACGGGTGTCACGATCCTGGAGCCCCAGTGATCTATCCTCTTTCCGTCTCCTCTCTCTTGGCTGGATCTTTTCCCTTCCCTTCTCCCTTGTGGTTTCTCTCTACGGAGTTTGGGGCTCGTCACGAGAGGCTGGAACAAGACCTTTTTCTAGTTTTCAAGTGGGGAGAGAAAACTGCCCACGTGTTTGCCGTGCGTGGAGACCCCGTGTCGCTGGAAAGGAGGGTCCTGGTAGTTGAGGGCGAGGTACTGTCCCCAACACACTGCTTTGGCCTCTGCTTCAGCTAAACGGGAGGCACCTTACTCGTCCTCACGGGTGTCAATCGGCTGGTCACTAGTCCTTGTGTCAGTGGCTGGGGTCAAGCTCTCGGGAGTACCTGCTTTCGGGAAAGCCGACTGTGGGGCTTCAGTTTTGCGTATAGGTCCGGCTAGCCCTAACACAGGAATCTGTGTTCCCTTGTTGGGCTCCGTGGTGGGCGGGGCCGTCGGACCCGAATCTTTATTTTCTTTCCTATGGCTTCTCATATTTACTTAATAAAAGATTTCGAGGTAACTCCAGTCACTCAAGTCAATCCTGCACCATCACTCAAATCACTCCTGTCACTCAAACCTAGTTCTGAAACTCTACTCCTAAACTAGTCACTGAACCTAGTCTGAAACATCTACTGTTAAACCAGTCATTCAACCTATTTCTGAAACGTCTACTGCTAAACCACTCACTCAACACTCACTCAACTACTCTTCTGAAAAGTCTACTGCAAAAAATTACGTACAGATACAAATGAAAAAAATCATAACAATATTCCCCGTTTCCTAGTCATCTCTAGTCCTTCTGGCGAAATGCATAAGATGTCTCCTTTCGTAATAAACAAATACATCCAGTCCTGTATTGGTGAGCCGAGAAATATAAAGCGTCTCCGCTCCGGAGACTTGCTTATTATACAACCTCAGCCACCCAGTCTGCTTCTTTACTTCAGATAACTAAACTTGGGCAAGCGAATGTGACTGTAACACCACATAAGTCACTCAACTATTGTCGGGGGTGTAATCTCAGAATTCGACCTTCTGTATGTTTCTGAAGAAGAGATCGCTTCTGAGCTCTCCGAACAAAATGTCTGCGGGTAAGGCGGATCAAGATGCGAAAGAAGGTAAGTTGATAGACACGAAACACGTGATCCTTACCTTCAACACGCCTGATCTGCCTAAGAATATTAAGGCCGGATATCTAAATATTCCTGTAAGACCTTATATTCCAAACCCTATGCGATGTTTCCAATGCCAGCGTTTCGGCCATTCTAAGACGTCTTGTCGTGGCAGCCTTACATGCGCCCGATGCTCACAGATTGGCCACGATTCTGAAAATTGTACCGCTGCGCCTCTTTGTATAAATTGCAAGGGTGAGCACCCAGCATTTTCACGCCTCTGCCCAAAATGGAAATTGGAAAAAGAAGTGCAGACTGCAAAGTTTGCGAGGAACATCTCATATGCCGAAGCGAGATTAGTCCAGAGCACAAGCTTCGACCAAATACATCATACGCCAGTGCTGTAAAATCATCTCGTACGTCGCCACCCAAACATCAATAGGCACACAGACCCTAGCAAATAAAACCATCCGTCTACATCCAACAAGCAAAAAGAAAATGCAACCATATAGTACAAAAGAAAGAA